GTCGATGAAGGTTAGACATCCAGGTAATATGATACGCCAAAAAGCAGTTACTCAAGCAACTGGATATCCAGTTGCTTGAGTAACTGCTTTTTGGCAACTTTTGAATCAATCAAATGTAATACCAACAGAATTGGGAGCCTGAAACAGGGAAACGCCCAAACACAGAGGGGCTGTCAAGTACAGGATTTGAAAATCACAGGTGACAACACCCAACTGTTCACCAAACTGCCAATCACACTCGATCATTATATCAGGCTACAGTTTGAAGGGCCACTACATGGCCGACCATTGTAAACATTTACTGTTTTGTACCAGCTTCAGTGGACTCATATTGGCACACACAGAATATGCCGGCACTCTTGTATCAAAGTGTAGAAATTTTACTTTTCTTAACGACTAGGGTAATTTTTTCTATACTAGTAGTCAGTCAGGGAAACAGGCAACACAAAATTTTTCCTAGGCCAAAATTTTTCCTGGCAAGCTATTTGGACCAAGTAGACTAACACTATAACTTTGCAGTGGTCGAAATACTTTTTTTTTCAGTGCTCTGCAATATTGCAGAAGAGTCAAAATTTTGTTCTGCGATTTGAAAATACTTTCTGCAAATACACAAGCCTCCATACTACAACCTTCTCAAACCATTAATGTCTTTGTTACATCATAAATAGCTTTGTAAATCTGTAGCACTACTGGAATTCATTTAAGTTTAATCTATCACTCTTTTTAATTTCAGACTTTATAGATCCTTCTCCACAGAAAATTTATCATTTATTTACTGGTATCTTTACAGGTCTTTCACTGCTGTCCCCCACTACAAGCTGCTACAACTAAAATCAAAATAAATTTTTCTTCTGCAATCTTGAAAATCTATCTGCAGATTGCAGACTGGCATTTCGAACACTGATACTAGTATGCTGACACTCTTATATCGAAGTGTAGAAATTGTACTTTTCTTAAACTAGGGCAATTTTTTCTATAGTCAGTCAGGGAAACAGGAAAAACTAATTTTTTGCTAGGCCTAACAAAAGTGTAAATGTAGGTTTTAATCTCTCATCTGGTGAGCTATTTGGACCAAATAGACCAACACTATCACTTTGTAAATATTTGCAAAGAAAAGATAAACTAAATTGCTGTATACAATCAAATCTGAATAATCAATCCTTCTCCATTTTTTCTATATTTTTTTCATGGTACCTGACCAATCCTTCAACCTCTATACATAGTTAGAAATTTTGTATGTCTTCTATTAATAACCGCATAAGATAACTAGTAGCTTTAATTTTAGATGCTGCACAATCTGTGCCAGACAGCAGTCAGAGATGATCATGTTTTGAAGGCCAGATAAACGGACTGTAGACAACACTGGTGTCTGGCTGGATGACTGCCAGCCCCAAGAGTTGGCATGTCATCCCCTGTACCAAACCCTTCTTCCAAGGAATAGAGGGGCCACCTGGAAAATACTGTGAAGTGTGACATCTTTCTACAGCACACAAGTTAAAGCAGAAGTTTCTATTTGTGGCTGGTGCATGTTTATATGACTCTAGAATAGAGATTTTCACTGAGTTTTGAAGACATTCTTAGCTGAGAAATTGTTTATATTTTGTGGCTCTAGAATAAAGATTTTCACTGAGTTTTCAAGACATTCTTAGCTGAGAAATTGTGTATATTTTGTGGCTCTAGAATAAAGATTTTCACTGAGTTTTCAAGACATTCTTAGTTGACAAATGGCGTATATTTTGTGGCTCTAGAATAACGATTTTCACTGAACTTTTAAGAACTTCTTAGGCTAGCTGTGCCTTTTCTTGTGCTCCTAGGGGACTGGCACCAAGAGGTCAAAGATAGGAGTTGGTCACATTCGAAGAAAAACATGTGCAGCTGGTAGAAAAATACAAGGAATGAGAAAGATAGCTGGGATGTCAGTTATCTCACTGGTCATGGACATCCAGTGTTTTTGACAGAGGGTCATGAAGCATATGGTCTGTTTTTTGTTACCCGTGAATATGAGAGATAGAACAGGAATGGTGAAGAGATACAAAAGACAGTCATCTGGAACAGACAGTCACACATAGGACAGAAGGGGGAGGGGGGCACCAACTGACCAGACCAGATGGCAGCTTGTTTCCCCTCTGTCCACAATCAAGCAGCACTTTCTGGCAGCTACTACCGTGGTCTGTCAGTTTTACATTAGTGGCACCTACGAACTCCAAGTTATGAGATGGTCTGGTCTTGTTCAGCTAACCAAACAGTTGCAAATTAAATAAATCCTTAGTAAAGTCACTCATTTTCATTCAGGCTTTTCAACATGAAGGCCTGAATGACACATTTAAGAACTCACCATCTACGAATGTTCATTACAGTACCTTTGTAGACAACTGCAGTGAAAGAAAAGCAAATATCGGGAACTTATCATTACCGTTAACAAATAATTCCTCAACTTTCTTTTTTCTGCGCCTTTCAACACCGTGAACATAGTTCTGTGAACACCTCCATTTTTCTTAGACCGCTAACTGTTGCTACCGTGGACATACAGTGGATTATAGTATTCCTTCTATTTATTCCGGAGTCCAACTGGAAACCTGTCACTGCTGCATTACACAGCTACAATCTCTTGTGTCTAGACAGACCTTCCTTCAGCTGGGAAGAGAAATGGCCCCAACAGGAAGCTATAAAACCTATATTGTGCATACAGGAACGACAAGTAATATACGACAGTCCAGCAATTTCCTTCACAATTGACGCAGTAAAACAGTCAATTTGCAGGGACCCATTGGCAATCAAGACGTCCATGCTGAAAAGATGTCCGAGATTCCGCTAAGCCTAAATGAATAAATAATACACAAAAAAATCACGAGTACTAGCATAATTGCACTCACAGCCCTCTTTCGTATACACACTCTGTGTGTTATGTTCAAGTATTTAGGTTAACAAGTGCTATTTTAGTATATCATATTCATAACGATGACTTTTATCTAAGTTAGCCTACGGCATAACAAGACACTATAAATAAATCCACAGTTCCATGGCAACAACAAGAGCTATAAACAAATTGCTCCTACCAAGGACAATATTTTTACTGAAGGAGGCTCTAGTCTGTTGACCCCTGACCTCAAAAGAGGACAATAGCCACACAAATGTCAGCTTGATACAAGCCATACCACTTCTCAAGGAAGTGTCCATAGAACACACAGAGTTTGGCTGTACTACCACAAAAAAACTGACGATACTACAGAAGACATCAACTACAGATAGTCAAGACTGCTTAGAAAGGTGTTAATTTAACAAATTACAAGTATTTTTTTCAGTTTTGATTTTCAAACAAAAAGGAGTATAAAAATAGAAGCTATGGCGAACTTCTGGTGTTTTTTTATTCCTTTCCACAACAGAAAATTGACAGAATATGCAAGCGACGTTCCCGAAATTCCCACAAACATAACTGAACAATCCAAACTGGCTGGGACAGATTGCGAGAGGACAGATTTTTGACACACAGTGACAGGGACAGATGCCTTGTGTCACATAAACACAACACACTGGCTCTTCCCCCAGATGTCTACGGTAGCTTCGCAATGTCTGCTGACGGACGTCTCCCAACCGTCTGCGCTGTTTATGAAACAAGCGCGCGGCGGCGGGCACAAAGTCCGCACTGTTGGGCGTACAAGTTCAAGTCAAATGACCAAAGCGGCAAAAATGACCCCCGACCCCGTCTGGTAACTCTAGACCGTTGGGTACAGCGAGAAAGAAACATACCCCTCCCTTCCCCTACCATGGTTGAGATAGGATGTATAGGGAACAAATGCTAACTAAACAACGCTTGACAAAGACGTCAGGGCAAAAGCTGTCATTGTCCCTTGGCCAATAGGTGCCAAGGTTTGTGTACACTGTGTCCCACTCTATGTCAGTTTGTCATCATAGGTAACCAATTGTCTTCCTCTTTTCCTCCGTGAGTAATTTCCAGTTGGTAAGGTCGACATTTTCCAGACAACTCAAAACAACATTTTTTTCTGCTACTTGTCCGAGTCTAGTTTTCTACCCCCAAAGTAAAATTATGTTGTAACGAGCTTGGGATGACATCTCACAGATGTTATACCCACATCAGAGTTTTCATCAGATCATATCTGAGGCAACCGCACAAAAACTGGGCATTTAGAGTATTAGTCATGGTGGTATTGTTGGGGAGAAAGACAGCTCCATATGTGGACATATGTTTGGGCATTTGGCATGCAGGGTTGCCTGCTTTCAACAGACACAGAAACAAACACCCTACTGCTGAACAGGGGACACATGTGGCGGTCAGAACTGGTCTAATCTTTCCCACAAACTAAAAAACCTTGTGATTGTGGGAAACTGCAAAGATGTAGTCCTTTTGTTTCTTAATGGCGTCTTACGTGCGTGATTCAGTCCCAGAAAAATCTGGACACAAACAATTACTCATAGCGTGGTAACAATATAATCAGAGGAACTTAAGTTGTAAAACCCACTATCAGGTGACAACGGAAAAACTTCTGGGGGACACGCATGCTTGGTTATGACCAAAGTGTCATCCTGTAGTAAGTTTCTAGGTATTTAAGTTGTCCTTGGACCAAGGGAAAATGTCTGGACAATTTTCTGTGGTCCAGGATTAAAAATATGCAGGGTTGCTGGCTTTGGTGGGATAGTAGTAGGGTTGGGAAAATGTGCCACTACAAACACACAGACTCCCCATGGCGCCAGGGTTCTAATGCGTGCAGAAAAGAAGGGTGACACATAACGTCATAAGCTATGTTTTCCTAGGCGTGTGTAAAATACAACAGTACACCTTTGGGCGACAGGTCTCATTTCATTCCTAATCATCTCGGAGGTACAGGGGCATCGTGGAAAATGAATCGGTCGGCGTGCTGGGCGCTCGGAGCTGAACCAAATGTGGGGCCCAGACTGGTATATAAACACACAAACACTGGAGCCAAGCTCTGGCGCGCTGCTCCTCCGAAAAAAAAATCGCCAATTAAAAACTGACCACTCACCGTTGCACTGGCCGCTAAAGAGCCGTTTGGATGTGGGTAGACGCCCATATTGGAAACTATAACTCCACCAGGAGTAAGATATGCTGGTCCCCGGCTGACGACTGGTACAGACTCGGCTTTGCTACCTACAAGTTGGCGGTAAAGAGAAAACTTGGTCGGACTTGAGTGGGGAGGGGGGCGCCGTGCAGGCGAACTATGACTTCCTATAGTCAACAAACTACAGGAAACCGAAGTTAGGGTGACAAATTTAACCGTTTCTGGACAGTACAACACATACTTGAATTTCTGGCTAATCCTTAGCAGTCGTTTGTATCTAGGGTGTTAACTGTGAGACGGAATCTTCGGCCAGTCTTCCGAGAAGGCCCCGGGTAGGGGGTGCAAGGCGAACTCAACTATCGCAACAAATCCTACCAAACTCCAAACAACTCGAAGTGCGGGTCTTAACCCTCAAAACACGGCATCTACACATTTTCCCTTAAATCTTAGGCCATCATGCGTTACAGATCGTGAAATATCGCCACTCTGTTGGCCTGGAGGAGTGAATAAAAATCGTAGTAGCAAACCTTCGTCCCCTCTTCTGGAGTCCTCCCTGGGATAACTTTGCAACGGTGGCTTGGAACCCTGTAGTAGGGGAGGGGGGAGAGAAACATTCCGTCAGAGATCCCTTCCTCGTGCACGCTTATTCAGAAAGAAACCACAGCAAAGACTTTTCCTGACATCCACAGAAGGTCAGGTATATACTGTATCACAACAAACTCACCTCTGAAGGTACCGCGCCGCTCTGAGAACTTTCCGACTCGTTGACTAAACTGGACTTGATATCGCTGAGGTCGTTAGAAACGTTTTCGGCCGATTTTTCTTCTTGCTCCCCCTCGTCTTTGAAGGAGATTGTCTCGTCGCTCGCCCCTAGATCGTCGCCGCCACTACCGTTGAGCTGCGGCATTGTCGCTCGGTGGTGCCCTGCTGGCCTGGCCGCCCCTGGTTTGACGAAGTGCCCTGGGAGAAGACAGTTGATCAGAGAGCTGCGGCTATCATCGCCAGACCACGCGGCACCCAAGTTGTGTTCATCCCCCAACCGACACAAACCAACACAACTTCGCGATGGTCCCCAAACTATCGATCTTTACACCCGAATTTCTACCACAAACTCTCTCCATGTTAGGAATATAGTTTCTATAATTGTTCACGACTTACCTTGTCCCAAAATAGAGTCTTGATCGGGGCTCTAGATTTAGCCAGCACGTTAGAAATTGACACAGAAATGAACACAACTTGGTTGTAGTCTCTGCGGCGGCGTTTTGCAAAGGGAACACGGGGACAACCGTTAGATATACCGGGGATGATCCGCCGAGTTTGTCCCCAAATAAATCCTTAAAATTCTACGCCTTTTCTACAGAAAAACAAAATTATAAGATACAGTAACTGGTAAGCGACAGTATGTTGTATCCTTGATATTATTCTACGCCGCAAATACTGTTTCAAAGGAAACCTCACACAGTACTGAATGCCCAGTCCCCAAAACATCAAAGCCCGCGCCGCACCCTTGATCGCTCGGGTGATTGACAGGTCCCTTCGCCCAGCTGTCAATCTTGTTATAATGAAATGCGAATGACGAGGGCTGGGCCGAATTTGTTAATTAATTACTACGGTGACGTCAGACTACTAATCAGCGTGGCCCGGGGTTTCTGACCAGTGAGTAACCGCGCACCCACGGGCTCTTCCCGCCCTTTTGTCGGTGGGCGGTTCGTGTTTTTGCTGCCCACAGTTTACAAAACAGACCGGCTCACAACCGACGCGGCGTTGCCAAACCTAACCCATAAACTCGCACACCCCTCCCTCATTAAAAAACACGAAAAATCGATATGCTATTTATAAACAGTAACGAAGCAATAGAAGGATACAGGAATATCGTCTTCATCATATTTCAATAGACTTGGTCGAAATACTCGACAGTAAAAAATACAATGTGGCCATAGATTTTGGTACGTGTTATAGTGTTGTTGGCTCAAAAAGCAATACTGTCTATCGTAAAAGTCTGAAAAATCGTTCCTAAGTTATCAAACATGTATAAAGCTATAGCTTTAGAGCTCACGGTGACAAAAAAAAATAAGAAAGAAAACAAAGACACTGGCTGTCTTTTTACTCTTATAAATGAAGAATCATCTACATAAACCGCTGTCAATTAATTATTTTTTGCATCTTATTATAGAATTTTATATCAGCTAAACTATAGTCTTCACATAAGTGGATTTCTTTGAAACAGCGAACGTTCACATTGTCGGATTTGCCATGACAAAAACACATCAACGTTAGAATTGACACATCACGGAGCCAATTTATATTTCTATTGAGCACCGTGGACAGTAATGATATTTATATGGACCGGAGAAGCTTTACAGTAATGTGGTTGTACAGAGGAGTCCCATAGAACTCCACTCACCCGTGGTGATAATCACATCCCCACTCCATAAATTTCGTTTTGATGGCTGGATTGTGACGATTTTATTTGCTGCCCTCTTTATTGAATTATTATATAAACATGTCGAGAGAATCATGACGAAAAAGATCCGTCGCCAGAAGTTATGTAAAATTTAGCTGCAGCTCCTACGTATTTTTCCTGGAAGAAAAGCTATGAAGTTTCAACGTGTTATGTAAAATTTTCGTCACGAGCACAGGAAGACAATACAACAAGACTCATGAGAAATAAGACTTAGAGCATTTTAATAGCATTGTATGCTATTAAAATGAGCATTGTAGTTTGAGCATTGTAGTTGACTACACATTATACAGAAATGAGAGGGATTCCCTCCATACTTTGTAATAGCAAGGACGTCCTTGGTAATAGATAAGTTCCCAAGCTTTAGACATTTAGACAGACTAGAAAAATTCGAATTCCTCATTAAACTTGACAAACCATGTATCATTAGCTCAATATGTTCGTACATCTTTAACTGCGTCAAGAAGCGAGAAGAAGCTGAACCTGTAAATAGTAGACCACATTAGTATGTATAGTTTGTAAGTGTCATTGCTGTATTCCCTGTTTATCCATGACCTGTACTTAGCTTGTTAGAGCACAAACGTACAATAAAGATCTTTCATTCAAATTTGATATGCACTCTCGAAAGGGCAAATTTGCTGCCTCCTCTGGGATGCTAAAACTCCTTGCCAAAAGTTTTTTTTTAATTTTTAATTTTAATTTTTTTTTTATTTATCTATTTATTTTGTACTGTTTTACCGCCTGGTAGAGACAAGTTGTATTCGCGGAGTTGTGAACCAGGGGGTCGGATAAACCGGTCTGAAGGTGTCAAGAAAAAAAAACTCCCGTCGACTCGCACATATGTGCGGATTTACACCACTGAAGCTGGAAAAACAAACACAGACTACGATGATTGTCTGTGGCTGTGGAGAAGTAGCCTCTATCAGGCTTCGGGAAGCGGCTGGGAAGGGTAGAAATTGGCCAAATAGACAATTATGCCACGGGAGTTGGTCCACTCAAAGATCGAGAACAGTTGCACTCCCCTGGCATATTTGTTTGTCCAATTTTTACTCTTTCCAGCCGCTTCCCGAAGCCAAGGAGTTTCACCGACTATGGAAGCAAGGAATGTCCTTGATGGAAGTTTCACCTGCCAAATTAATATACCCTTCATTGTCAATTTCTATAATTTTCCAGCAAGTCAAGAAATCTCTTTGCAAGTCCTTGAGATTACACTTGTTGTACATACCGACTTCAAGGACGAGCAGATGAGTGTAGACAGACAACCACCTCCCTCTAATCCGTTCAAAATTGTGGTAAAAACAACATCTCAACTGAACATTGAACAAAAGTACCCACATGACATGGACATTGACCTTTGAAAGGTCACAGACAAAGAAGTTGTTAAAAGTTTGTGTTGTTTTCAGTTGCTGAAAATTGTACTAAAAATCTCATCAAGAAACAAAAATACGAATATATACAGAATGGAGAGTGCCCTTTGAAAACGACACACACAAAGAAGTTGTTGAAAGTTTTGTTTTGTTTTCAGTTGTCAAGAAGAAAGAACATAACATTTATCTATTTAAGTCTTTATAAGACAGTGTACAGGGATAAGAAAAAATCTCATCTACAAAGCGTTACTATGTTTATTGACTAAAGTGTACAAATATAATTACATAGTATCTTCATCAAAACAATAATATCAGATAGCTTTTCTATCTTTTTGTCCCGATTTTACTTGCACATGAAAAAAAACGCGTCCTTTATGTGGAATATATAATTGACTGACAGTGTAAAAGTTACCCTAACTATCAGTTCGACGCTTTGACGCATTTTGCTGACATGTTACGTCATACGAGACGTGTTTTTATTAATCCTATCATGAAAAGAACAACAAAGACCCCCGTGGCATGCAGTCGACACCGGTTCTCTCTACGTAAATCAACGCCTACACGCACATTCCACCTGTTGAAAACAATCGTGTAGTAACGAGGAATAAATACCATTGCGTGTTCTCTAAAATCTCATGATATGGCTAGCCTCCGTAGCAGGCATACGTCCACTTTACACACGCAAAAAAAATGCGTTTTTGAAAAAAACGTTTTAGAAAAAACGCGTTCCAGATCGTGTGTAAAGAGAATTTTTATAGAACTGGGGGTTTGGTGGTCTTCGGCTGTTTTCTGATTAGCCCAGTTCTGAAAAACGGGGGTAATTCAACCAGGCCGGCTATGTTGTCTATATGCAATGAGAAAATAGCACATAAAAGCTCCCAAAGAACATGAAGACCCCCAAAACCCCCAGTTTTTGGCATGCTATGGAGGCTATGATGTGGTCAGCCAGAAACAATTGTTACATGCATATATATACCCGCTACTTCAAAGTTAAACTACACTTTTCGTGTTAATCTTTTTTTTCTAATGATATGTTGAAGATTACGTCGATTCGAAATATTTGCAAAGAAATGATTACGCAATGATGACTATTTATGCAGATTTTGCCATTTTCCCTCGCGAAGGCAGCCTGCAATTATTTCTGGAGTAATGACAGTTGTTTGGCCGAGACAATTTGCTGTTAATTGGTGGCAAACAGATTAGTCATGTTGTTTTTCTTGCTGTTGTAACTAACGTGTATACTCCATGTGTAGCCTCCATAGCATTCCAAAAACTGGGGGTTTTGGGGTCTTCATGGTAGCTTTTATGTGCTATTTTCTGATTGCATATAGACAACATAACCGGCCTGGTTGAATTACCCCCGTTTTTAGAACTGGGCTAATCAGAAAACAGCCGAAGACCACCAAACCCGCAGTTCTATAAGCCTGCTACGGAGGCTACTCCATGTACACGTTTACACTATAAAACTTCTACACATCTACTCTCCAAGCAGAGGTTTGGGCTTCGTCTTATTTTTTGCGTTTTTTAGGCGTTTTTATCATGCACTCTTTTGTACTGGTATCCTTTTTTTATGCTCGTATATTTACGCCAACCCAGGATATGGCATATGGCAACTCCCTGTCTTGCCATTTTGATACTGTCTTTGCAGCCACACCAATATTTAGCTGTGGTTTGCAAATTATGGTAAAAAATGCCAAATGAAAATTCTCTATATGAAAGTAATTTCTATTTTTTTTGTGAAACTTTTTTTTTTAATTCTGATGTTTTGGATTTATCAAGTTGTACCCGTCTCTTTCTGTGAATCAATTTTATACCTTAGGCCACAGCAATTAAATTTTATGGATGACATCCTCCGCAGACTCTAAATCTAATGCGAGCGGGCGAAAAAAAAACAAGGCGGGCCGAAAAGAACAAGGTTCCTACATTTTAAAATTTTGACTCAATCATTGTACAAATGGTTTTGATTCAGTGGGAACATCACATATACACAGCCAGCATCACATGTCACTGCATCAAAGTAAGAAACAAAACATTAAATCAGAGCCTTTTCTTGTCTCCTCTCTTCACGGTTATCTGCCATCCACCTTCCGGCATGGCAACAGACATCTTTGCCAATTTTCGGCATGGTGACCACTGTCAGAAGGCGACAAAATTTCTTGTTTTTTTTTCCCAAAATCAGGCGAAAATTAATGCGCGCGCTGATGTCATCCATAATGCTGTGGCCTTACACAACAGGCAATATTGGCATAGGAAACTGACCGTTTGCACGTAGATATTCTATAACGACGGAAGATTATTAGGGCACACTGTTGCCTACACATGGCTTCTTGACAAGTTATTCATGCTACCCTAGATGAGCCAAGGCTTTCGAGGGCACTTTAGGGAGATTTCCTGAAACTTAAAACTGTGGTAGAAAAAATCCAGCATATTCCGTTAAGTCGACAGTAGCTGGTGTTTATAGGTC